GCGCGCACAGTGTGTGGGACCTCCGTCTCCACGGCTGTCTGGCAGGCAGCTTCGTTTCCCGTCTGTGTCCTTCCAGCACTTCCTTGCGCCGACACAGAGCTACGAGGGTGTTCTTTTGGAGGTTTCGCAGTGTCTGGCCCTTGTGTTGAGGCCTTTGATCCATCTGACGTAGTCTCCGTCTGTGGGATTGGGCCGGGCTCTGCCTGGATTCTCTGCCTGTGGGGGCCCAGCTGTCTGAGGGCCGTTGTTGGAAGACGGCCCTTTTCCCATCGAATCATCTGGGCATTTTGCTCAAAAACCGGTTGGCCGTAAGTGCAAGGGTTTCGTGTTGGACTCTTAGTCCTGTCCTTGGGCCAGCACCACACCGTCTGAACATTGGTAGTTTTGTAATAAGTTTTATTTTGTTTTTGTTTTTTTCAAAGGTTTATTTATTTATTTATTTGAAAGTCGGAGTTACACAGAGAGAGAAAGAGAGGCAGAGAGAGGTCTCCCATCCGCTGGTTCACTCCCCAATTGGCCGCAATGGTCGGAGCTGCACTGGTCCGAAGCCAGGAGCCCGGAGCTTCCTTCACGTCTTTTCACGCAGGTGCAGAGGTCCAAGGACTTGGGCCATCTTCTATTGCTCCCAGGCCACAGCAGAGACCTGGATTGGAAGTGGAGCAGCCGGGGCTGGAACTGGCACCCACATGGGATGCCGTCGCTGCAGCAGCGGCTTACCCGCTAGACCACAGCGCCGGCCCCTATAATAAGCTTTAAAGTCAGGAGGTGGAGATCTGGTAGCTGTGTCCTCAGACTTGTGGAGGCTGCTCTGGGTCCTCTGTGTCTTCATGTATTTTTGGGATCAGTTGTCAGTTTCTGCACAAACGCCTGCTGGACTTTGACGGGGTGCTGTAATCTAGGCAGGCACCGGAGGAGGGTTTACTTTTATTTTATGTGATTCTGTATTCGAATGTTTTCTAAAATATGATTTTTCTAGTTAAATAAAATCAAAGTTTCAGTTAGAAAATAATTTTTCTTTTAGAATTCACTGCAAAGGTACCAGTGTGTAGTGTAGCCAGTAAAGCTACTGCTTGGGACCCTGGCATCCCAATGGGTGCCAGTTCAAGTCTAGGCTGATCCGCTTCCCACCCAGACCCCTGCTGATGGCCTGGGAAAAGCAGCAGGGAGAATGGCTTGGGCCCTGCTACCCAGGTGGGAGACACAGATTTTAAGTTGGCTTTAGCCTGGCTTAGCCCTGGCCATTGCAGCCATTGTGGAGGGAACTGGTAGATAGAAGAGTGTTCTCTCTCTCTCCCTCTCCCTCTCCCTCCCCCTCCCCCTCCCCCTCCCCCTCCCCCTCCCCCTCCCCCTCCCCTCCCTCTCCCTCTCCCTCTCCCTCTCCCTCTTCCTCCCTCCATCCCTCTCTCCTTCCCCCTCCCCTCTCTCTCCCCCCTCCCCTCCTCCCCTCTTTCTCCCTCTCTCTCCCCTCTCTCCCTCTCTCTCTCCCCTCTGTCTCTCTCCTCTCCCCTCTCTCTCCCCCCTCTCTCCCCCCTCTCCCCCTCCTTTGTAACTCTTTCAAATAAATAAATCTTAAAAAAAAAAAAAAACACACTGTAAAATGCGCCATGGCTTACTAGGCTAATCCTCTGCCTGTAGCACCAACAGCCTGGGTTCTAGTCCCAATTGGGGCGCTGGATTCTATCCCGGTTGCTCCTCTTCCAGTCCAGCTCTCTGCTGTGGCCGGGGAGGGCAGTGGAGGATGGCCCAGGTCTTTGGGCCCTGCACCCCATGGGAGACCAGGAGAAGCACCTGGCTCCTGCCTTCGGATCAGCTCAGCGCGCCGGCCGTAGCGGCCACTTGGGAGGTGAACCAATGGCAAAGGAAGACCTTTCTCTCTGTCTCTCTCACTGTCTAACTCTGCCTGTCCAAAAAAATGTTTGTAGTTGATGGACTTATTTAATGCACTTTAAATATAGTTCGAAGGTATTTGGAGTGAAGTTGTTCAGAATCGTCTGTTCTGCAGGCAGTACGGCTGCAGGCTCCTCTTGGACAGGTCCATCGGGGCAGTAACCCGTTGAACAGAGCCTGTGTTTGCCGTTCCTAAAGCAGTTCCTGCCCGCAGTCCTCAGCGTAGGTCTTTACACAGTCGCCTGGGGCTCCTGGAGCAGGACAGGAGGCTGGCGGGGAGCGGCCCTGGCCTTTTGCCTGCAAGGGAGTCAGGGTCCCTGAGTCGGCGCCTGCCCTGAGCAGTTTCTGTTTAACTCCTGCCGCCTCGTGCCGCCTGCTGTGGGTAGCCAGAGCCCTCAGCCATTGCTGGGTTAGTGGGCAGGGCCCGGGTAATGCCGGGAGGTGGCCTCCAGCGTGGGGACTGTGTCCTGCCCCACATCGCAGCAGGGCGGGAGCAGCGGTGAGACGCCTTCACTGGACTGAGGGGAGGCCGCGGTGCCCTCCCACCCTCCCACCCCTCCCACCCCACGCCTGTGCGGCTTCCGCAGCGTGGCGTTTGGGAGCGACCTGCCCCTTTCCAGTGTTAGTGGCCGATCTGGGCCTTGACCAGGTTGATGATTCCTTGCCTTTCCCACGTGCTCAGCAGTGAAACGCACGCAGCAGCTCTGACCACCCCTTTCTTCAGAGGGAGGTGGGAGCAGCGGGGGGCCGTGGACCACCTGTGTGAGCTGCGGTGCGGCCGCAGGCCTGGCTGGCCGTGCTGCGCTCCTGCTGCTCCTCACTGGGCGGGAGAGGCTTCCTGGCACCGCGCTGGTTGCAGGGAGGGCCCGGTAACCCAGGCTTGAGGCATCTCGGCTGCGGGGCCTGCCCTGCGCGGAGCGCGTGGCCTGGCCTCAGCCTGCCCTGGTCTCGGGCTGGAGCTGCAGGACAGCGTCCCCAGCAGCCCTGTCCACTGCGTCTCCCCGAGCAGCACGCACGCGCTTTCCTTAGACTGAGGGGCGCTGGGCCCCTCACGGTCTGTGGTTCACGGTGACGTTTTGCGGGCGGTGGTCACAGCCTCCGTGCGCGGGGTCTTCTGGGGACTTTCCACTGCGTGAAAGTGAAAGTCTTCCTGCACTGCTTTCTGGGCTTTTTTTGTCTTTTTCCTTTTGGTTATGGAAATAAATATTGCTTTTAATATTTACAAATCCATATTTTTATTAATTTCACTGAACCAAGACCATTTTAGGATTTTAAACAAGTATGTACTTTAAAAAAGTCATTTAGGGGCCTGGTGTTGTGGCGTAGGGGGTTAAACCACCGCCTGTGATGCCGGCACCCCAATGAGCACTAGTCTGAGCCCCGACTCCACTTCTGTCCAGCCCCTGCTGATGCACCCGGGAAAGCAGCAGAAGATGCCCAAGTGCTTGGGCCCCTGCACCCACGTGGGAGACCCGGATGAAGCGCCTGGCTTTTGCCCCCTTCTTTAGCCCAACCTGGCCCTGGCTTTGCAGCCACTTGGGGAGTGAACCAGCAGATGGAAGTGCACTCTCGTGTGCTCTTTTCTCTCTCTCTCTTTCTTTAACTCTTTCAAATAAACAAAAATTGTTTAAAGAAATCTTTTAGGAAATAAGTTCGTTTTAGAATACATTTTTCGTCGTCTCCTTTTCCTGTGCTGGTGGCCCCGTGGGGAGGCCCTTCTGTGCTGGAGCCTGCGCCCAGAGGGAGTGCTTCCAGGCCGCAGGGACAGGCGGGCTGCACGCTCCTGCTGCCGGCGTCGCCTCTGCTGTCGCCGTGTCCTGGCCGGCAGTCCGCAGTCCTTCGTTCTATTAAGTTCCCGTGGTGAGATGCTCTGAGGCCCGTCCACGGAGGGCGATGGGTTTGGGTGGAGGCGCAGGCTGGTGGCTGTCCCCTCTCCTGCGCCCCTCATGTTCTGCTCACGGTAGCATCGCTCACACCTGTGGCTTTCAGAACTCGAGCGGAGCTTCTGACAGGGTTTAGTGCGTCCCTGCCATTTATGTGCGTGTGCCCTCACGTGCACCAGTGACTGTGTGTGTACATCAGTGACAGGGAGACGTCTGTGTGTGTGTGTGCATACATGCATCAGTGACAGGAGACACGTGTGGGAGCACCAGTGACAGGGAGATGTGTGTCTGTGCACAGAGATGCATCGGTGGCAGGGAGAGACGTGTGTGGGCACCAGTGATGGGGGGAGTGGCTGTGTGTGTGTCTCAGTGGCAGAGCTGCTGGAGGGTGGGGCTCCAGGTGTGGGCTGAGGTCCCAGGGCTCAGCCTAAGTGGAAGTCAGGGGTTGTGTGTGTGTTTGCTTAAGGTTGTGAAAATCACTTCTTGGACACCTTTAAAAATTAAAACCAGCCTTTGAATACAACTCTTAACTCCTCATTTATGTCAGTAAAGTAGAATCGTGCTGTCAGTATGGCATAGTGCACACCGTTACCCCAGGGTGCGACTTTATCATACACACAGACCGGGGTCCCTAGGGCATTGCGATGTTGGCATCAGTTATTTTCTGATCCCACTATTACAAAGAGGTTTTGGCTTCTTGATTTTTTAAAATAGATTTAAACTTGTTAAAACTTTTGGACTGAGAGTGAGAGAGCAAGAAAACTGAGCCTGCAGTTCAGCCTTTGCGCTTGCACCCACGATTGGTTGATTTACTTTAAAATCTGAATTTTTATTCACTTACTTGAAAGGCAGAGAGCGAGATTATTCCTCATCTGCTGGCTCACTCCCCAGATGCCTGCAGTGGCGGAGGCTGGGCCAGGCTGGGCCAACGCCGGGAGCTGGGGGCTCCATCTGGGTCTGCCACGTGGACGGGGGGGCCCGGCTGTGTGACCCGTCGGCAGGAAGCGGGGGTCTCCCCGGGCCAGCATCTTAACCACGGGCCGGGCGTCTCCGTCCGTGTAACTAGAGGTGGAAGGCCGGGGGCAGGGCGAGCCTCTGCATCCAGAGGAGTGCGTCACTCTGGTTTCGGTTACGCGGTCTTCAGGTGCTGTGGTGAACAGTGCACACCCTCGACACTGCGGAGACGTGACACTGCCCGATGCCTGATGTGCTGTTTCCATGTGCTTCCAGGGGCCCAGAAGACACCTGCTTTGAGTTTGGTGTTTTCCCCGCCATCCTGAGTTTCCCACTTGATTACCCGTTAAGTCCCCCGAAGATGAGATTCACCTGTGAGATGTTTCACCCCAACAGTAAGTGCCTTCCAGCGTCCTCTGCGGTGCCGGGCGCGGCAGGGAGGGCCCGAGCCACAGGAAGCGAGTGCGCCACCTCCCTAGACGCCTAGCACGCGATTGCCACCTGCAGGCGAGACGCGAGCCTGCCGCTGGGCCACAGTGGGTCGCTAGAAAGCAGTGTTAGCGTGAGCTCCTCCGTGTTGAGCGTGTGACCGGGCGGGCGTGCACCTGCGGAGGGTCACACGTCTGCTGTGGGGTTATTGTTCATGCTGGAACCCCAGTAAAGTAGCCTTTCAGCAATAGAGAAGTTGCGTTCACGTCACAGATGAGTGTGATGACGTAACGGCGTTCACGTCACAGATGAGTGTGATTACGTAACGGCGTTCACGTCACAGATGAGTGTGATTACGTAACGGCGTTCACGTCACAGATGAGTGTGATTACGTAACGGCTAACGAGTGTGCCACGTTGACTGGGAGAAGCAGGTTACTAATCAGGACTGTGATAATTCCATCTGAAAACACTGTGTAGAGCTGGAAAGAAGCACAGATGTTAAAAGTGACTTTTCTGATTGGGAGTATTTTCTCCTCGTAAATATGTGTTCTCCCCCCAAATTAAACATTTGCTACTTTACAAAAAAAAGATTTATTTATTAGAAAAAATGACAGGGACAGGCAGCGAGAAAAAGACCTTCATCCTCTGGTTTACTCCCCAAATGGCCACAGTGACTGGAGCTGGGCCAGGCCGAAGCCAGGCGCTCCATCCAGGTCTCCCACATAGGGGCAGGGGCCCAAGAACGTGGGCCATCTTCCCCTGCTTTCCCAGGCCATAGCAGAAATCTGGGTCAGAAGTGAAGCTGTTGGGACTCAAACCTGCGCCCAGAGGGGATGCCTGTGTTGCAGGCAGTGGTTTAACCCGCTGCACCACAGTGCCAGTTTGCTTGATACTTTTTTTTAAAGATTTATTTTATTTACTTGAAAGTTAGGGAATGAGAGATCTTCCATCCGCTGGTTCACTCCCCAATTGGCTGCGATGACCAGGGCCAGGCAAGGTGAAGCCAGGAGCCAGAAGCTGCTTTCCGGTCTCCCATGTGGGTGCAGGAGCCCAGGCACATCAACAGGGAGCTGGATCAGAAGCTGAGCAGCCGGCACTCAAACACGCCCACGTGGGATGGTGGCCTTGCAGGCGGCAGCTTTACCCGCTATGCCACAGCACCGGCACCCCGACCCTTGTTATTTTTACAGAGAGAAAACAAGATCTCTTAAATAAAGTGTTTCACCGTAGCTGGAAGTGCGTCCAGTAGCAGGGGTTGGAATCCTCTTTCTTCTTTCTGTGTTGGGAATTATACAGGGAGCGGGCTGTGTTTAGTGATCGCACTTAGAATAATGTTTCTTATAAATGAGCGTTATTGCCGTTGACAATCACATCTTACTAGCTACGGGGGAGAAGGCAGGACGTACTGAACACTTGCTGGAAGCAGGTCCCTATGCTGTCTTTTCTGCATATCAAGTAACTACAGGCCAGACTTCAAAAAGTTCCGTCTTTTCAGTTATTTGAGAGGACAGAGACCGAGACAGAGCTCCTGCCCACTGGTTCACTCCCCCGGTGCTGGGCCAGCCCAGAGCCAGGAGCCTGGACTCCAATCCAGCTGTCTCAGGTGGATGCAGGGGCCAAAGTGCTTGAGCCATCACCTGCTGCCCTCCGGGGTCTGCAGAAAGCAGGGTCCGCAGGTGAGTTGCTGCACTTGGACAGGCGCTGGGTGTGGGCATCCCAAGCAGCTGTGCTAAACACCCACCGAGAATCTAGAATATTCTGAACCCCTGGCTTCCCTCTTGGTTTCAAGATGACCCACTGGGCACCCCTCCCTGCTCCACGCCCACTGGGCACCCCCGCCCGTCAGATCCCTGCCCGCCAGGCTTTCAGGAGCGCCTGCCTGGCAGGCCCTGGGGTGCTGGTGCCGCTGTGTGGGCGCTGAGCCGTCCCTGCTTCTGGCTGCATTGCCTCAGTCCCCGCCCCCGCAGATGCCGGTCCTGCCAAGACAGCCCTGAGCGCTGCTGCTGAGATGGGGGACAGCGCACGTAGGGCTCACTGTTGTGTTATCTCCTCTAGTGTGGTTCTGGCGTTTTCGGCAGTAAAAGGTATGAAGCATGTGTTCTGGTTTTTAGGTTGGTGTCAGCGGAAGAGAGCGGCAGCGTGGCTCGCCACCTGAGCGTGCTCGCAGGCCCGAGGTGACAGGGCCCGCGGTCTCCCAGGCTCTCTGAGGCCTCTCATGTCAGGAGGCTGCTGGATAATTAGATACAGATAGGAAGACGACAGAAGATAAAGGCTTTCTCGAGGTGGTGCCTGGAGCTGGTGTCAGAGACAAGTGCAGGCTGTAACTAAGTTGTGTGAGCAGACATTCAGGGTAGCGGAGTAATCACTGGTAGCTGCTGTGAGATGTTCAAGTAGTTAATGTAAGTGGCCTAGGTTTGCCTTACTGCAAGGGGCTGTGCATTATTCTTACGTTGTAGAGACAGTTCCGTCTGAAGGGAGGGGCGGTTGTTCAGGAGAGCACAAGCAGGCAAGGGCGGGAGGTGAGCGGGAGCCACCATGTCGGTGTTCATTCTGGATGGCCCGAGGGGCCTGGAGGAGGAAGCACCTCGCCACCGAGTGTGGGCTTCAGATCGGCTCAGCTCCAGCCGTTGTGCCCATTTGGAGAGTGAGCCAGCAGATGGAAGACCTTTCTCCCTGTTTCTCCCTTTCTCTGTAATTCTGCCTCTCAAGTAAGCAAATCTTTAAAAAAAAAAATGACTTTGAGTGCTGTTGTGCAGCGGGTTAAAGCTCTGGACTGAGGCACCAGCATCCCATATGGGCACCGGTTCTAGTCCCGGCTGCTCCTCTTCCCATCCAGCTCTCTGTTGTGGCCTGGGAAACAGTGGAGGATGGCCCAGGTCCTTGGGCCCCTGCACCTGCGTGGGAGACCTGGAGGAAGCTCCTGGTTCCTGGCTTCAGATCGGCGCAGCTCCGGCTGTTGTGGCCACCTGGGGAGTGAACCAGCAGGCAGAAGACCTCTCTCTGTCTCTCTGTAACTCTGTCTTTCAAATGAATGAAATAAATCTTAAAACTAAGAAAGTAACAAGTGAACAGAATCCAACGCGGCCGGGCTCCGGGCCGTGGAGCTGCTCCGTGTGCTTGCTGGCTGTAGCTGGTTAGGGCCGGGTAGACTTCCTGGCTGGCCTTCCTGAACCAGGCACAGTCTTTGCCACAGCCCTCCGGCGTCTGTGAACCTCGCTGGTCCTCTGGCCGCTAGCAGGAAGCGGGACTTGCGGTTTAGAGCATTGGCTGCGCAGGGTCGTGCAGACTCTGTTTTAGATGAGAAATTTGTCTCCGCTCCAGAAATTGTTTCTTGTTTTGGCATTAAAAAAAGTGTGCCTGAGGTGCAGTGCCGCGTCTGTCTCGGGGCGAGGAGTGGCGCCCAGGGCCCCAGGCCGTGCTCCAGCCGTGCAAACAGCTCAGTGAGCCTGCAGCCTTGTTCTCCTCATCTTGGGCGCGGCGCCGCAGGCCTGTTCCCTGGGCTCACCCTGCTGTCTGCGGCCCTCGCAGTCTACCCGGACGGGAGGGTCTGCATCTCGATCCTGCACGCGCCAGGGGACGACCCCATGGGCTACGAGAGCAGCGCCGAGAGGTGGAGCCCAGTGCAGAGCGTGGAGAAGATTCTGCTGTCCGTGGTGAGCATGCTGGCAGGTGAGTGCCGGGGCCGGGCCCCGCGGCCGGGCGTGGGAGCGGAGGTGCTGCTGGGGCCGTCGTGCCCCGCAGTCTCTCCTCCCTCGTGTGGCCGTGTCCAGTCCACGCTTCCTCGCTGCCCGTCCTATAGTGCTGTTTGCCTGCACACATTTCAGGGCAGTTGGGTACCGCCATCGTATCATTGACCGTCGTTAGCCAGACGTCCGCATACTCGGGGGGGTTTCTTGGGCCCTACTCTTGGTGCCAGGCACTGTGCTCCGTGTGCAGCTCCGGGTGACAGAAACCCCGACTTTAAAGGGAGCTTTCTGAGGGTAGACCGGAGACCAGGACACACACAGGCTGTCAGGCCAGTTCCTGAGAGGGGGCGGCTGGGCTGAGTCTGGGGCATGTTAGCACAGTAGGAGGGCGGGAGAGGCATTTGGGCCAGAGGAAGCCACCAGGCAGGGGCCCAGGGGCAGGAGGCAGCTGACTCAGTGGGGCACTGCCAGCTCACTGCGCTGAGCCAGGGCTGGGAAGCGGGGCGCGGTGGGAAGTGGGGCGGGCAGTACGCCGCAGGGGCAGTGCTGCAGCTGGTGCCGGGGGTGGCAGTGGAGGAGAGGCAGAGATGTGCTAGGTGGGGTCCAGGGACCCGGGGCGGCAGAAGGCTGCAGTGTGGGCCCCAGGCCACAGGGCACAGTCCGAGGCCTGGCTGACTTCTCTTTCTCCCGTGAAGGCCAGGGCCCGCCCACTGAGGGGCTCATCCAGGACCACTGGGTGAAGGGGACTCTGGGTAGGGCGGCAGGTGATGGCACAGCCCAGAGAGGTCACGTAGAGGGACAGGGGGCGAGGAGGAGCCTCCAGAGGTCGGGGAGACACAGAATTGCCGCCAGGGTGCCGGGGGCCTGAGGCAGCTGTGGTGGGCCGTGCGCCCTCTGCAGGAGCTGTGAGAGAAGTGACCACTGCAGAGCCCCTCAGAACGGAGACCGCGGTGTGGGTGGTGCAGCCACTGGCCCCACGCAGTCCCCTGGGAGGCTGTGTGTGCCTGTGGCTGTGTCGGGGTGTTTGCAGAGCACGATGGAAGATGGCTGGTCGTTGGCCTCTCGACACCCACGACAGTTCTCTCGCGAGGGCAGCTGCTGCCCCACGCCGTGTGCTGCGGTTGGTGGTGCCCAGCCGCTGGTGTGGAGAGCTGCGTCCCTCTCCCGGCCCGCAGGCTCAGTGCCTCCTGCTGGTTTTGGGGACCTCTCTCGCGAGGCCTCTCAGCGTTCTTAAAGGGAACGGAAGCGCTTTGCCGAGTGGCTTGCCTTCTTTTTTTTTTTTTTTTTTTTAGTTATTATTAAATGACTTCTTATTTAAAAGACAGAATGACAGAAAGGGAGAGACGGCTTCCATCCACTGGTTCTCTCCGCCAGTGCTGCACAGCTAGGCCTGGGCCAGGCCAAGCCAGGAGCTCCATCCGAGTCTCCCAGTGGGTGGCAGGGCCCAAGCACTCGGAGCGCCCTCCGCTGCTCCCAGGTGCGTGAGCGGGAGCCGGGTGAGGCACAGAGCGGCGGGCGTGCGCCCTGGCCCGCCCCGCGCCTGGGTTGCTCGCGTCTGGAGTGGCGGCCCCGCCCCGCCTCGCCCCCGCTGAGTGCTGCTGTCCTTTCAGAGCCCAACGACGAGAGTGGAGCGAACGTGGACGCTTCCAAGATGTGGCGTGACGACCGGGAGCAGTTCTACAAGATCGCCAGGCAGATCGTGCGCAAGTCCCTGGGGCTGTGAGGCCAGGCCTCCGACGCGGAGTGACAGTGACACTGTGCTGGCACCGAAACAGGCCCCTGAGCAGAGCCGCGGTGTCTCACTTTCTCACCTTCCCCTGCCCGGCAGGCCTCTGCCACGGCGGCTTAGCACCTCGACGGCCACGTCACTACCTCTCCCCGAGGCCCCGCAGCTCCGCCGCCTCCCCTCCTGGAGCTCCGGGGTCGCGCTGGCCAGCCTTCCGGGACAGGGACACCGGCCATGCCCTGCCCGCCACGGGCCGGGCCGCTCCCCGAGCCCCCGGGCATCGGTCACCTTCCCGCTGCATCCCCCTCACGTCTGGGTACAGCGTGTGCACGTGATCACGGAGCGTCACACGTAGAAATGCCTTCTGAAGGCCTGTGGCCTGCGGGTCCCGGCGGCTGTGGAGGCCTCAGCGCCCCAGCACCCCGGCAGGGGCGGGGACACGGGAAGGCTGCATCGACAGCGTCCTGGCCCTCCGGGCGCCCCCTCCCTTCAGCAGAGAAGCAGACCCTCGCCCCAGCGGTCGTAGCTCGGAGCACAGAGCTGTGCCTTACCCCCGCCCTGGCCAGCGCGCGTGGAGCAGGCACACGAGCCTGGGCCCGGCAGAGCCCGCGCCGCTCACGGCCGGACGTGATGGCTGCGGGGCCTGGTGCCGGGAGGCGGCGTTACAAGCAATAACACATCTGTCACGTGCAGAGTCCACACAGGTTACATTTAAATAGGAACCTATTTTTGACGTAAGGGACGGTCTGTGAGACACAGTCGGCTTTTCCTCACGCTGCCCTCCATCCGCCCTGCCCTCCCTGACGCCGTGCGCGGAGCCGCTCCCTGACGCCGTGCGTGGCGGCCGTGGAAACCAGCTCCTGCCTTTCCTCCACGGGAGGGGTCGTGTAAAATCCGAGATGGGAGCGCATTGTATGTGCGCCTCCCGGCGGGGACGCGGTAACAGGAGCGGGCCGCGGGCCGGCATGGGGGGGCGGCACACAGGCCCGCAGGCTGCCTAGGCGGGAGAGAGACAGTCTACAAAAAGTATTTTTATTCATTTGTATTTATTAAGTGCCCCCAGCCCCTGCCTCTGTTCTGTGTGGAATTTAATTACTGTGTTGCAAATAAAGTTACCCATTTCCCCCGATCTGCAACTCCCTCTTTGTTGTGTTTTTCGTGTGCTGGGAAGCCTAAGCCCAGAGGCCCCGGCGGCGGCAGGGCCTCTCCCGGCCTGGAGCAGTGCTGGGCCGTGTTCTCCCTCCCTCCCTCCCTCCGGGACTGGATGTGACCTCGGATGCAGAGGGCGGGGAGCCCTGCTGGTGGCAGCGCAGCCCAGGGCGGGGGAGAAGCGCCCGTTCAGCCGGAAACCTGAAGTGGGAATCCAGGAAACCTGAAGTGAGAATCCAGGAAACCTGAAGTGAGAATCCAGGAAACCTGAAGTGGGAATCCAGGAAACCTGAAGTGGGAATCCAGGAAACCTGAAGTGGGAATCCAGGAAACCTGAAGTAGAATCCAGGAAACCTGAAGTGGGAATCCAGGAAACCTGAAGTGAGAATCCAGGAAACCTGAAGTGAGAATCCAGGAAACCTGAAGTGGGAATCCAGGAAACCTGAAGTGAGAATCCAGGAAACCTGAAGTGGGAATCCAGGAAACCTGAAGTGAGAATCCAGGAAACCTGAAGTGAGAATCCAGGAAACCTGAAGTGGGAATCCAGGAAACCTGAAGTGAGAATCCAGGAAACCTGAAGTGGGAATCCAGGAAACCTGAAGTGAGAATCCAGGAAACCTGAAGTGGGAATCCAGGAAACCTGAAGTAGAATCCGGCGTTTGGTGTCGTGAGGGGCACGCTGGGGCCCCTCCTGCTGGGCGAGTGACCACGTCGTGGTTGTCTTGGGTGGGGGGTGGCTTCCTGTTGCTGCAGCATTGCCACTGGGCTGAGCTTGGGGCGCTGAGGTCACTCCCCAGAACCTCCAGGACATGGGGCTGTGCAGTGTCCTGAGTGGGGCACCATCTCAAAGCCACCGCCCTCCAGAGCGTCCCGGGCTCCGTGCCCGCACCCCCTCCCGTGTGGCCCACACTGGTTCACCCGCCTGTACAGGCCCCACCCCTGCCGTCCTCAGTGCCTGCTGCATTCCAGCGTGCCCATCCTGTGATACACTCCGGGGGCCACCGCGCCCTGCCCCGTGGCTGTGGGACAGGATGCGCCAGGGCCGGCTGTCGGCACCCTCCATCTGGTGGAGTTGTGCCTGGTTCACCCTGCTGCGGTGCCCGAGCTGTGAGGGACCCTGCACGCTGTCCACCCGCAGTGGGTGTCCGGCTCACTCACCATCTCCACCCTAAGGGGCAGCGACCACACTGGGCTCGTGGCCGTGGGAGGGGCGGGCTGAGGTTGGGGTAGGGGCGAGTGCCGTGCCGGTGGCAGCACGCCTGCGGGGGCTCCCACTGTAGGGTAGAGCTCTCGGCTGGGCTTGCCGTTCTGCGCGCAGCCGGGCTGACCCTGAGGGCAAGGGTCCTGCTGGAGCCAGGTGCGTGGCTGGGCCACTGCTGTCACGCCCTGTCATGTCCCTGCAGCCAGGGACTCTTGTAGAGCAGGGCAGGGGTGAGTGTCAGGCTCCCCCATGCCCGCCGGCAGCACTGGGGCCTCACCCAGCACAGAGCGCAGGCTGGGCTGTGTGGTCACCTGCCCTGGGGGTGCTGGGCTCGGCTGAGGCCCAGGGAGAGCGGGTGGCAGGATGGGCTGAGAACAGAGAGTGCAAAGCGGGTGGCTGTAGGGGTTATGTGGGGGGCACCGCCTGTGAGTGCTATGGGCTGGGGGCTCAGAATCCGTCAGAATGACCCTGCACCCAGCCTTGGTGCTGCCACTCCAGCTGCTGACCTAGGCATGGCCAGCAGGAGCCACCAGCCCCCCGCGTGCTCCAGCACAGCTGGCCCTGGGTGCCCCCAGGCCTGGCTCAGACGTCAGCAGCTGGGTGGCCCCTGAACCTCATCTGTGAGACCGTTCTGGTGGCAGTGACTGCATTCCCGTGGAGCAGCCGTGGGATGGAGACCGCGCCTGGGGACAGCAGCCCTCTGTACCCACCTGGCAAGAACACGTCCGTGCCTGAGCCAGCGGTCTTCCCGCCCCTGGTGGCAGTGGGCTCTGCCTGGAGGAGCGGGGAGTCGAGTCTCTGCCGGCCACGTTTGTCAGTGTGGTCAGCAAGGCCCCCCGAGTCCTTCCTGTCCAGGCCTGTGCACGGGGCACGTTGGGTGCACGGAGCCCTGCTCTGGGGTGGCCTTCCAGAAGTCTCCCCTAGAGAGGACTGGGGGGCTCCAGCTGCTCAGCCTGCCCCTGTGAGGGCCAGGATTCTCCCAGGGGCCACTGGCTCGGACTCTCCACAGCAAACCCCATCCTGCACCTGAAGACATGGTCAGGCCAGAGCAGGGGTCCACGCTGCACGAGGTGGATGCCAGACCTGGCCCTGGGATGTCCACGGCAGGCAGGGGCCAGGTGCAGCTGGAGCAGCAGCACCGACTGTGGTGCCTGCGTCTGTCCCCAGGACCTGTCTGCTCAGCGTGGGTGGAGGAATGGGGAAACAGTTCATTCCCATACAAGATGCGTACAGGCAAACCTGTGTGTGCATGTGTATGCGTGTGCACGTGTACCTGTGTGCATATAAGGGTGCGTGTATGTATGGTGTGTGTACATACTTGTACATGCGTGTATGTGTATGGGTGTGCACACTTGTGCTTGTGCGTGTGTGTGCACGTGTGTAAACTGCATGCGTGTGTGGGTGTGTACATGTGCGTGTTTGTACACGTGTACATGTGTGAAACTGTGTACGTGTGTGCACGTATGGTTTGTGTGGGTGCTTGCGCACGTGTGTATGTGCACGTGTGCATGGCTGTGTGCATATGTGTGGATGCCCAGGGAAGAGGGTGGGAGACCGGCTTGCTGGTGGCCTCTGCAGCCTCGGAGGATGCACTGAGCGTGTTGGGCCCACGGGAAGCAGCTGCCACTCGTGGGCAGAAGACACGGATTCTTCCAGCCTTCTGCCCCTTGGAGCAGTTCCGCCTGAGGAAGCAGCCAGGCTGGGCGGAGGCTGTGGCAAGACCCCAGTCCCCCGGCCGAGCTCACAGGCCATGGGCATGCGTGCGCGGTGTGTGCCCTCGGGGTCTCCGGCTTTGTCCCAGGACAGCACTGTCTGCTCTTTTGCGTCTGTGCTTTGCTCTGTCCCTGTCTGTCCTCTCCAGTCCAGTCCTGTCCACCCTGACCCGCTGTGGAGGAGGAACCCGGGCGAGTGACACGAGCCTGGTCCACGCGTTTGGTGCTAGCGCTGGGCTCAGTGTCGGATCTCCTGGCTGTGTCCTCTCACAGCAGTGCCGGGTGTGGGCGTGGCAGGGAGCCTGCCTCTGTAGCTAACGAGGACGTGGTCACAGTGGCCCCTGCCCGTGGCTGGCCGCCCCTGGGCCTGCCTGCCTAAGCTCCTGAGCCAGGTGGAGGTGCTAGGCCCACCTCCAATGCACAGGCCGGCTCACCAACGGGGGCCAGGGCAAGGCCGAGCTTCCCTCCTCCCCCTACACCCTTACTCCCCCCCCCCCCCAAAGAAAAAACACACTGGGCTCCTGGTGCATCCGGATGCCACAGCTGCCTTAGCCAGTGTGTCAGTTCCCATCGCAAACTTCCCGAGGGGCCGGTGCTATGGCAGTGTCCCGTGTGGGCATCGGTTCCAGCCTGGCTGCCCCCTGCTCCGATGTCCCTGAGAAGGCAGCAGAGGAGGCCCAGGTGCTGGGGCCCCTGCACCCGCGCAGGAGACCTGAAGCAGCTCCGGGCTCCTGGCTTCCACCTGGACCCACTCTGGCCATTGTGGCCGTTTGGGGAATGAACCAGCGACTGGAAGATTTATCTCTGTCTCTCCCTCTCTGTAACTCTGCCTTTCAAATGATTAAGTAACAAATATTTACAAGAAAGAACTTCCCGAGACCCCCCACGCCCACACTCAGCACACAGGGGGTGCGTGTGGCCTCCCCTGCTAGCCCCGGGTGATCCCTAAGCTTCCGGCAGCTGGGGCCACTGCCCCTGTGGAGCCCGCGTCCTCTGGGCGGGCACGTCGCCCGGCACTGCCCTGTGGCCTCGGCCCTGTTTCGGGCTCCCGCTGCGTGGGCGCTGCATGGTTTTCGGGCTGTGGGGTGACTTCCTGCCAGCTGTTCGGGGGCTCCACTGCCCCCGGCTGCCCTGTGGGGGTTGCCTTTTGGGGGTCGCCCCAGGCTTCTGGTCACATGTGGGAGCCTCGCCTGCGGCTCCCTCGGGTCCTTCCTGCCCTTTCTCACGGTCCCCTGGGGGCCCCGCTCGCCCCTGTCGACGCTGTCCCTGGACACTGCGCTGCAGGTTTGCGGTTCTCTGCATGTCGCTCTGTGACTGCTTCCAGCTCGCACACCTGGGGGCCCGCGGCTCCGATTCCGCCCCTTCTTGGCGCCTGGGGCCCCGCGTGGCCACCCCGCCACCAGCCCCTTCCTGGCACCTCAGCCGAGGCCCCGGGCATTCCGGCGGGGAGGGGAGCTCGCTGCCACCCCCCAAGGCACCACGCAGGTTCTGTCACCTCCCAGGCAGCCGGGGACTCGGGGCCCCATCCGGCAGGGCTCCGGGCTCAGGCCCTGCGCCGTGTGGGCTCCCAGTGCCGCGGCTCCCGGCAGCCTCTGCTTCCTGCAGCGTGGCCTATTGCAGGCAGCAGGAAGCCGGAGGTCATTACCGCGCTTGTTTTGTGTTGGTCCGGGTGTTGGGGCAGCGGGAGTTGCTGCTACCATCTGGAAAGCGCCGTGAAGATGAAAGGCGGCTGGAAGCCGTGACGCCCCGGAGGCGGCCGGGGCCGGGTGAGAACGAGCTGGGGTTTCCGGTGCCGGCTCGCCCAGCGCGGGAGCCTCGGGAGCCTGCTCCCGGTGTTTTGGCTCTGGGCCACCTGCCTCGGGAGTTCTAACAGACAAGAAGCCCAGAGACCCGAGCGTGGCCCCGCTGGACATAGGGCAGGTCAGCGGGTGCTGTGCGGGGGCACCTGCTGTCCACGTAGCCAAGCTCTCGGGAGCCACAGGCCCTGGGGCAGAGAAGGGTCCGGAGCCACCGCCAGCGTGGTGACAGGCGGGCGCTGGCAGCAGGCGGCAGCGCTGGGCGCCTTCA